AAAAGTTATAGCTGTGAAAGAGTACCCTCCACCAAAAGAAACATTCAACCAAATACCTTTCAATTCTACAGCTGCAGCGGACAAAGAAACGCCTTTGTTCTACTTAATCACGGTCTTAGAAACCAATGTCCACGTATGGTGGGGTTTCTGTGGAAAGTTTGTTGAGATGTATGGCCTACTATGGTCTTAGAAACCAATGTCCACGTATGGTGGGGTTTCTGTGGAAAGTTTGTTGAGATGTATGGCCTACATATGGTCTTACAAACCAATGTCCACATATGGTGGGGTTTCTGTGGAAAGTTTGTTGAGATGTATGGCCTACATACGGTCTTACAAACCAATGTCCATGTATGATGGGGTTTCTGTGGAAAGTTTGTTGAGATGTATGGCCTAAGATTAACCTTATCATCATTTTTACAAACTTGTTATGGTGGAAATTGTGATTTCAAGAAATAGTGCAAAATCACGACCATCAAAGGAGGAAGTAGTACAAGGGGCAGCAAGGATGTAAAACATTGTTTGTACAAAGTGCAATTAACCATTCATACTTTCTTAACAATTTTTAAAGTATTGTCTTAAACTTCAATATGAATTTTTATTTTCATCAGGTATAGCGAGCAGATTGATGTGTATAAAGCATATACATCAGAAAAGAAAAACCAAGTAAATGAACTTCAGAAGTCTCTTGAAAATCAAAAACAAGCTCTACTGCAAGAGAAAAGAACTGTTGCTGCGTTTCAGTCAGATCTTAAAGATGCCCATGAAAAAATTTCAACTCTAGAAGAAAACATTGAACAACATAAAGCTATCCTGAATCATGAGAAAGAACAAGTAAGTATTTGAAAACATTTAATATTATACTGTTATTTAATGAAGTGCATGTTATACTGTAACTAATATAAATATATTATGTTTATTTTTAAATATTAATATATAGTGGTATATGAATATACCATGCTGTTCTATCTTCTTTTGTTAGTTTAGTATTTATTCTGAACTCATCATTTATCCCTCTCTGCACAGACATCTATTACTGCTCATTTCACAAGGTTTTTAGTGACTTACATTCAAAATTTAATTAAACTACTTTTTGTTTATGTTATACCAATTAGTATAGCATAAAATTGTAGCTCATAATCTATATTTTAATTGTATACAAGTTTTAAGTTCTTAATTGTATAAGGGAATATTTTTAAAAATCATGAATTTCCCCTAGTGTGAGAATTGTGACATTTTTTCTGTAGCCATTTCCTCTTCAGTAATTTATTGACCAACCCTCCAATAAGTACGAAATTCAATGTAAATTACTCACTATAAAATCATCATCACTCAGACAAAGCATAATTTTTATAGCCTTCACTCTTTTTTGGTTACAGTGCCATCAAATAGAAAATCAACCCCCTCTTGCCACATCCACCTGTCACATCCTCTCTTATGTTTAATACTATATTATTTATAACCAATAGAAAGCCAAGATCTTCAGCTATCAAATGACATATATTTCGTTGTTTTCTGAACAGATAATTGTCAGTTTCCTTTTTAGTACAAGCTTCATTCCCAGGGGGAAACATATCGATGAATTTGTAATGGCTCTCATTGTATAGCCAGAAAAATTGTAATAGTTTTGGGACATTGTCTGTTTTTTGCATGTTATTATTTTATGTTCTTTGGTGCATTATTTAATAAAATAAAAATTATTTAGTGCACTGCTATTATTAGTATAAAAAAAGAAGTAGGGTTAAGTGTCATTGACAGTTGACAGCAAAAAAAAAGAAAGTCCAGGTAAGTACTTTATTTCTTGTTTTTCATGTGTACTCTTTATTTATTATAATAAAAGTAACTAAAATGTAAAAATAGGAATCTCTTTAGGTTAGATTACATAAAATAAATAATAAAAATGTTTCATGAGTCGCACACGCAAGTAGCTCATGGGTAATATAATTCAATAGCTTAACTTGAGCTGCACATTCCCCAAATGATTTACAACTTACTATGGCACGAATGGTAATTAGACACTGTTCAAAGGGCAATATAATAATAAAATTTAATTGTAAATAGTTCTATACTGTTATAAGTTTAAGGCTACTTTGGATAAACAAATGTAGTTTCATGTTACAATTTGAAGTCATTCTAGAAAGAAAAAAAAGGGTAATTTAGATTTATTTAATTTTTTTTTTCTTGGTGGTTACGAGGTTGGTCGTAATTATCATAAAAGAATACAAAATATATCTAAAATATATCACGTTGTAACAGGAAACTACATTTGGTTATCCTAAGTAGCTTAAAACTCATAACAGTATACATTTATTTCTACATAAATATTATTGTTTTATTGCCTTTAGAACCATTTCTAACTATTAATCCTGCCACACAAGTTTTAAATCACCAACAAACTTGTAGCTCACATTACCCTGTCAAATCATGTAAGGCACAGACTACTTTTGAGTGTACTTTGTGAAATATTTTATATATTTTTTTACCTAATCTAACCTTATCGAACTTTAAAAGTTTCTGATTTTTACACTTTAGTTACTTTATAATAATAATAAATAAAGAATACACATGAAAAACAAGAAATATAGTACTTACCTGTGTCTTCTTTTTCTTTTTACTGTTGGTGAAACATAACCCTCATTTTTTATACTAATGGTACTACTGCACTAAATAATTTTTTATTTAACTAATTACTGCACCTAAAAACGTAGAATAATAGCACATAAAAAGCAGGCAATATCCTATAACAATAACAGTTTTTCTGCCTTTCTACCTGTGCAATAAGAGCTGTTAAAAATTCAACTAAGATCATCAATGTATTTTCCTTTGGAATAAAGTTTGAACTACAAACCACACAGATAATTCTCTGTACAGTAAGCAATCTAATATAATGCATTATTTGATAGTTTAGAACTTTGGCTTTCTATCTGTTATGAATAATATAGTATTAAACATCAGAAAGAACTATTGACAATTTGTGAAAAAGATGATGGGATAGGTGTGTATGGCAAGAGGGATCTGATTATCTAGTTTATGGCTCTGTAAACAAGTAAGGTTGAAGGCTATGAAAAATTACGTTTTGCCTGAGTAATAACTATATTATAATGGTGAATTTACATTACCTTCTGTACTTCTTAGAGAAGTGGTAAATAAATTAAGAGAGGAGGGAACACCTAGAGAGCAAATGTTACAATTTTCATACTAGGGGAGATTGAGAATAATTTAAATATTTCCTTAGAAAATGAAAAATTTGAAGCTTATATAATATTAAAATTTGATATATTAAGTATGTTTTTTACCAGTTTTATTTGTATACCATAATAATAAAGTAGTTTAATTAAATTTTGAATGCAACTCTCTACAAAGTTGTGACATGCACACTTTGACTTGCCTGTCTGTAGTGAGAGCATTAAAGGAAACAGAATTTTCCATAAACCAAAGGACATATAACCATTCATTGAAGGGAGATAGCTGTATGAGAAAATTGTGTCTAGGAGATGTCCTTTCCCGAATGTCAGGCTTTTGTCAATGCTCTGAAGGTCCATGACTTCTTTATCATTGCTACTGTAGACTCAGGTAAGAGAATGGCAAATTCTGTTTCACTCATAATTACTGATTGTGTTCTCCCTCTGAGGACTGATCTCAGTAAGAAGCAAATGTGGATAACTGAGGTTCGTCAAGGTGATGTGGTATATGGTGAATGAGGTGACCTATATGTAGGACTTCCAGGCCTTTGCCAGTCACAATAACTGAATCCCAACTCTGGTAAAAGATGCTTTGAGAGACTGGAGGTGTCATTGGACATTTTGTAATAGGACTTATCTCACCAGTACTAAATGATAAAGTAAGTTGACCATGAAGCAGTGGTGAGCCAGGAAATATACTGCTAAAACAACAATGGATCACAATGAAGTTTGGGGTTGCTTAGCATTGATGGATGAGCTGTTGAGCATACCTCATTATTCTGCAACTCTAGAGTAGGATTCTACTGCTCATCAGATTATTGAGGTCCCTGAGTATTTCTGCTTCACTATATCTTGATAAAAAGAATTTCTCCTCTTGTTGTTTGGTCAAGAGTTCTTGAGAGACTGGCATGTGATGCTCTTACAGGTCCCTCTAAATAAGGTCAAGCATATTTCTCCCCTGACATTTAAAGGTATGACCAAGGAACAACTGGATCACTTCCTTAATTATTTTAGATCGGTCATTGTCTGGAGTGAAGAGATTTAGGAACAATCAGTGCAGTGCCTGACACTGAAATTATATGATTCAGTGTTTGATTCAATCAAACATTTGTATAAGGAAGAAGGAACTAAGAATACTTGTGTAGCTGTTGTTGAGGTAGCCCTGGATTTAGAGACAAGAAACAACTCTGGCAGTCAGCATCCTGATATTAAACCTGATTATATGCAGGTAGGGCAGTAACTTGGTAAAAAAACTAATGATTGAAAGAAAGTAATGTTCTCTGGTGGTATTGTAAGGTACAATGTATGTACTACATTGTGTGATTATCAAGGTGCTAGGACGACTGGCAGCAGCAGATGTAATACACAACGTATGTACTACATTGTGTGATTATCAAGGTGCTAGGACGACTGGTGCCAGTAGATGTAGCGTACAACGTATGTACTACATTGTGTGATTATCAAGGTGCTAGGACGACTGGTGCCAGTAGATGTAGTGTACAACATATGTACTACATTGTGTGATTATCAAAGTGCTAGGACGACTGGTGCCAGTAAATGTAGTATACAATGTATGTACTACATTGTGGGATCATCAAGGTGTTAAGATGACTGGTGCCAGTAGATGTAGTATACAACGTATGTACTACATTGTGTGATTATCAAGGTGCTAGGACGACTGGTACCAGCAGATGTAGTACACAACGTATGTACTACATTGTGTGATTATCAAGGTGCTAGGACGACTGGTACCAGCAGATGTAGTACACAACGTATGTACTACATTGTGTGATTATCAAAGTG